ACATTTATTTTCTTGCAACATGGATCCAAGTCCTTGAATGATTTCTTGACACAAAGTCTGCTACTAAGGCATAACACAACACGCAAACTTGAGCGGGCTTAAGGCAGGAAAGCTGAAGTGAGAGAAGAGCCAGTGAGGGGTGACCATGATAAAGAAAAACCACAGTGATCTCTGCTTCTGAGCCTTCCCTGAATCCAGACAGCTCTTTGCTGTGAAGAACATGGAAGGACTCCTCCAGTATGTCTGGTTTGGATCTGGGAATAATTCATCATGACAGTGTATCAACTGACTGCRCTGGGAAATGGGTGGGTTCAACTTCAGTTCTGATTTAGACACTTTTATAATCCAGACAACCTATTTCATCAGAGACTCTGCACTTGGAAGTGCCTACAAAGGTCCTCAAGCCCTTACCAATTGTCTGGTGAAGACCTCATGTTGGCGATACACTGTTGCTGCGTCTTCAAATCAATGCACTAAGAATCTCCGGTCAGAAATGTGGTTTTCAGGACTTGCATAATCCACYGGCAGGAGGAAACTTTGTTTAATTTCTATGCCTCTATTAAAGTTACAGCCCAAAGCAGGTTGAAATAAAAGGCATCATCAAGGTAGTTATGACTCCAGTAGTGGCTGACAATAAATGCCCAGGGATGAGTAAGCACAAGGCAGGAGCACTGTGCTCTGGCTGTAGCATCCTGATATCCTTCTGACTGGGAGAGGGTTCTCAGATATCCTATTTATGGCCAGTACTTCTGACCTTATTTAGCTTTAGGCTGATATGAAACAGAAATCCAAATCTGCCTATCTACTTATATTCTTCTATGACTGTTTAGCTTGGGGAAGGCTGAGGGGAAAATTTATCAAGGTGTATAAATATCTGAAGGGAGGGTGTAGAGAGAATGGCTCCAGACTGTTTTCAGTGCTTCCTAGAAATAGGATTACAAACTGAACATGAGGAAAAACTTCTTTACCATGAGGGCAGCAGAGCACTGGTTGTCTAGAGAGGTTGTAGAGTGCCCTTTCTTGGAGATATTCCAAAGCCACCTGGAAACAATACCATGCAACTTGCTGTAGGTGAGCCTGCCTGAGGAGAGGCGTTGGGCAAGATGATCTGCAGAGGTCCCTTCCAACCTCAAGCATTCTGTGAAATACTAGTGACTAAACTGAAACGGGCAAGTCATGTACTAGCTTTGACCAAAGCAGTTGCCACCTGAAGAAGTGCTGGCTCATTTCTCAGAGTTCTCTCTGTTTTGTTTAAAAGCAAAGCCATAAAGGTTGACCAAGCAAACAGAATGCAGCCCCATGTCCATCTTGGAGTGCAGAAACTTTACTGCTGGGMAGGTTTTTCCACAATGTGTTTCAAGGAGGATGTTTCCACACTGCTTTTCAAAGGAATTGTTTCAAGGAGTAGGAGTCCAGAGTGAAAGCTGTGCTAATTGTCCATCTATGAAGAAGTTGCACAAGGCACCRAACTCCCAGTAGGTCTGAGCCCTTGAACAGAGTAGTGAAGCCTGATTCAGACATCTGMGGACTTAGGTGGGGAGAACCTTCTGACTGCAGCTACTCTGGTGTAGGGATAGGATGCCAGGGGAGCTGACCATGCTTGGATGCCCAGAACTGCTCAAGGTCAAAGACATTATCCTAGGGCCTATGAACTTTGGCCATACTGACCCAGAGCTCCCTGTGGACTGGTTTGTCAGCAGGTGCTTGTGCCTTTTCTGCCCAAAAGTCTGTCTCAGAGCCATGATAGCCCTGGCTTGGCACTGGTGGCAGTCTTGTTGTAAACTAGAGGCTGGACTGCAGACGCTGGAGGTCCCTTCTCAACACCATTGCTCTTCAAGGAGTGCTGGCAGGTCTGTGACTGTTTCCTGGAAGACCTGCAACAAGATGCAGAACCACTGCTGAGATCTGGTTGTCATGTCTGCCCACAAGATCTGCCATGCACTCTTTGGATTTCCATATCAATATAAGTCATATGGCCAATGTTGCATGAAACTGGTGCTTCTGTCTCCTTTCGTCTTCCCCTTTAACTCCTACATGGTTGTGTTACCCTCTCTATGCATTTGAGTTTATGAAAGTATCTGTCTCTGTGCTTGTTGACATTCATTGCCAATTTTTTAGCAGAAAAGTCAGGTGAGCAACCTAAGCATGCCTGGCTGCCTCAGAGCACCTTGCACTTTGTATTACAACAAAGGAAAGAGGCTGCAGTCACTATAATWAGGTATTTCATAAAAGCATCTCCCACACCACCTGTGCCACAAGGTCTCGGTGTTCCTCATGATAGCAACATTGCCCAATAGCACATTATCTAGCTTAAGGATAAATAGTGGTATCTTGCTCCTGTACTTCCTGAGGTTCAGGACACCAAATCTGAATTACAGGGTTGAGGAGGAGGAGCAGACAGCATGACTGGAGAGACATGAGGCTCTCAGATGTTTGATGGACAAGTCTCACTCTCTTTGTGACCTCTCTTTATAAGCCAAGAGGACTTGTTTTCTCACTCCTGCTGTCCTTTTTGACTGCATGGATGCACCTGGAACAATAGGTCTGGTTTGTAATGCGTGCTGTTCTTCTAACTCAGGCTGTTGGTGAAATAAAGGTAACCAACTCACTTTAGAGGCTTGAGTATAGATCTGATCATTCATTTTAAGCTTCTAGAGAAAAGCATGGAGAATCCAGGCATTCTTTTCTCCATCATAGTTAAAATTTTCTTGTAAAGTCTGCCTTGCAGTTCTGCGTCTGCATTTGGTGGTGATTGTGAGCTTTGATACTTCCCACTGAGATGAGGGGATGCTGCAAATTCATGACTTTGGTTTGACATCTCTGGGAGTCTGATGATCTTCCTTCTGGTTTGACCATGTGGAGGGGACAAGGGCATCCCCACACCAATAACTTTRTCCTGGTTGGATTGCCCAGAGGCTATCCCTGGAGGAAAACATCTCCAAGAGAGAGTAATGATCATCTCTGTCCTGCTTGCCTATACCCAGGGACTTGTAGCTGAGCAACAGTTTCCTGCTACATTCAGCAATTTAGGGTCTAGCTATCAAGACATGCTATCCATGGGGTAGGCACTGGCACAATCTTGGACACCTCTCAGTTCATTGATTTCGTTGATGTGCTCTGGTACATACTTTGAGCACAGATGCTGTGAGGACCCACAGCTGACTTGGAGAGTCCAGAACACACTGCATCTGAGATAAAGGCCATGGTCAAGAAATGCTGATGCTTCAGCATGCCTGAATCATGGCTTTACGTACATGTGCCTGCCAGGAGGAGGTGGGCATCCAGGTGTAGGCTCTGGTATACAGAGTGACTAACAACTTTCCTTCCTCCTTTGCCAGTAGAATCTTTATTCTATTGGGATACAGGAGGAATTCTCTTCTGAAAGTGGTCTGTGTGTGTTTGTCAGTGCTGTCATGACCTAGGAACGTATATCTCATATGGGCTTTGTGGCATAGGTTTTAAAAGGTCCTGGCTGTCATAATATATCGATGATGTTGGCATAGGCAGTAGAGTCTTCAGTTACGGTGGGAGCATCCGAGATGTATAGGAAATCTTAGCAATTTTTCCTGCGGCCACTTCTCAGGAGTTGGATGAGGGGGGACTAGGTGGAGGAATCCTCATCACAAAGTATACAAGAGTCATGAGCTAGGTATGATCCACAGAAACCACAGTGCTATATCCTATTTACCAATTTTCTGCAGCCAAGTGCTGCAGGGATGGAGCCYGTTCTGTCCTGAGCATGGAGAAAGACTGGTCTGTCCAGGTTCATCCTAGGTCAGTGGTCTGTTTGGAGGGGACCTCCGCACGGGCTTTGGTCCACCTTCTTATTCAGAGTGGTGTTGCCACCAGTCCTAAACCAACCTTGGGTTTGTCTAGCCAAACTTTGAAAACTAAGGTGTAGATCCATACCTCTGCAATGCACAGCACTGTCCTCTGGTGTCATGACATCCAAGCTGAACATCTCAAGCTACAGTTGTGCCTTTTTTGTCCCCTGTTATATCATCTGCTTTAGCACAGAGAGGTTTACCAGAGCAAACAGGTAAACCTCAGACTAGTTGGCTGAAAGTGGTACTGGGCTCATGGGCTCCACTAGATCATTTAGGAACAATTTCTGACAAAGGTGYGGAGGCAGGTTGTCTTGCCATGGCATTTTAAAGCAGATTTGATGGTCTTTTGCAATTTTTGACATCTCATATATCTATGGTTAGGATCAGAACATGATTATTTAAAGGTAAGTCAAGGGATGCCACAGAACATGAAACCCTCCAGCCAAGGAATCAATACTAACTTTAAATTACTATCAAACTCTTAGAGGTGTTTTACATTATCTTAAAAAAAAATAAAACAAAAGAAAAACAAAACAAAACTACACGAGAAATAGAATGTAAGTATAATCGTTCACTCCATCAAAGAAAAAATGTATCTTCAAAGTGATGTGCATCAGCTCTACAGAAAAATATAATCAGAATGAAAACGCAGTGTGAGTTTTGCAACCAGAAAATGGCAGAAAAAGACATCTAGTAGTAACTTCGGTAGAGTGAGTCTGTTTGACATCTACCAATCATATTGGTAATTTGGGCTGTATCTGATCCCCCCAGGTGCAGTGTGCTGTCTTGCCTGTATACATGTGCATGTGAGCTGCCTTCCTTCTTCCTTTCCATCCTTCCTCATGCTTCCAGGAAACTCAGAGTTTGTTGCCAAAGCACCCTTTGCTGGAGTAAGGCTAAAAAACCTGCATTGCTCTGCAGCATCATGTCATGGAGGCACTACCAAAAGACCTTGAACTTAATGAAGTCTGTTAGCGCATCGAGTGTATTCACCACCCTGGGCAGGAGCATGAAGATGAGAGAGAGGGTGCAGGGAGGTGACTCCAATGTCCTCCTCTCACCAGCTCTGTGCTCCACTCTCTGTGCCCACCACAGTTCACTTCTCTCCACCAAGCAGCTCATCCTGCTCACTGCTACCCCGCTATCTTCCAGGCTGTATTACAAGGACGCAAGATGTGGCTGTGCCTCGTGGCCCTGTGTTTGGTCCTGGGAGTGAGTGATGCTGTTGTGCTTAAAAGARCGAGCCATGAGAACCCGGAGCAGTTCATGAACATAGTAAGTTCCTTGGTGTAAACCCAACTCTGCATCATAGTATAGTTCAGTGAGTCATGATGATCTGTTTATCATCCTGGGCTTTCTCAGCGGTTTGTGTGAGGATGGAGATTGATAGTGTGATGTCCTCTACTGCATGCCCTTAAGGCCCATCATAAGTACATTGCCTCAGGCATCTCCATTGAGACTTCCTTGGGGAAGGCATAGCCCCCAGCTTGTCTTGATGTACAAGTCCATTATGCACCTACTTTTGCAGTACTGCAACACACTTCATGCCCTCATCCTGAAATAGGGTCAGCCTCCAGCCTTCTTCTAGTGCTACTGAGACTTCGTATACCATGTGCATGTGAAGATGCCACAAGACAGCCCAGATGGCTGTAGGTGTTGTCAGTCTTAGAGCAGATATGTATGATGGAAACCACAAAGTCATTCTCATCCATCTATCTTCTCTCCTGACAGAGCCAGAAGATCAATTTCCATGCGTATCCCAATGAGGAATATGAAGTATTGACAGAAGATAGCTATTTTCTCACTATGAACCGCATTCCTCACGGCAGAGGGGATGCGAGGAACACAGGTAGACTCAGTTTCAGTTCACAAACAACTAAAGGCTGAGTAAAGCTATGACCTTACAAGTAGCTGAAGAGTGTTACAGGGACCAGTTTCAATTTTTATGTCTTTAAAAGCTTTTCTGAAGTTGGAAGAGCCATAAGAGTTTTTTTTGAAGGGACAGCTTGTCATTCTCATCTCGCATTATAAGACAATATTTAAAGTACAACCCACAGAAAGAAAGAAAAAAGTTACTGGGGTAGAAGAGACCATTATTCTTCCAAACTGCTTTGCTGTTTTATTTGTTTGTTTGCATGACAAACTCAGTGCTTTCTCTTTCAGGACCCAGGTCCCCAGTGTTGATAGTACATGGCTTTAGTTTAGATGGTGGCGACTGGGTGGACAACCTCCCCAGTACCAGCYTGGCCTTCATCCTCGCAGACGCAGGATATGACGTTTGGTTAGGGAACAACAGGGGGAACAGCTGGTCCCGGAGACACCTGAACCTCTCCACYGACCAAGAGGAATTCTGGGATTTCAGGTAAGGAGGCTCATGAGATCAAAGGTTGGGGAATGCGGGCCTCTCACAGCTGCCCACATGTCCTCACAAGAGTCCGTGCAGCCACGGTAGGTAGATATTTCTATTCCATGGTGGTAGATGCAGGCTCCAAATGAGCACAAGGCCCTCACTCATGCGCCGTGCCAATGGACACTGGACAAAGTGCCTCCGTGGAAAACTGGAGAGCAATYCCTGCACTTGTTAACCTGAGCAATGCTCTGAGTAGGGAGAGCCCCAGGAGAGAAGGAGAGAAGTAGAAGATATGAGAGCCCATGCTAAGCAGAGTCATATCTTGGTGGTCTGACCTGCAGGCATGAGGTGTCAGCACGCATGAGGCAGCCTCTGATGGCCATGTGTGGGKAGGATGTTACTGTAGTGCACAGAGGACAGGAACGAGGCACCACATCCAGTTTCTCTCCTTGTTTTCCAGTTTCCATGAGATGGCCATATATGACCTCCCAGCAATGATAAACTTCATTCTGCAGAAGACTGGACAGCAAAAGCTGTACTACATTGGCCATGCTCAAGGCAATTCTCTTGGTGAGTGAGAAGAAAAGATCAGGACTTTCCTTGGTGGCAGGGTGCTGGGATGAAAAGGGAGAAGGGGCAGCTCTGCCTATGGTGTTCCCTGGGGACTTGATGTCCAGGAYGCAGTGGATACCGGTCAGGGCAGAGACTTCCCCAAGATTGTGCTCTGCTGTGTTGGCCCTTGGAAAGCCAAGGCCTAATGTGGGTTTGGATCTATCTCTCTGTGGACCTTTGAGCAGCAACATCTCAGGATCATGGTCAGGCTCAGGCTGGAGGATCTCCTGAACTGGAGTCTCCAGACCAACTGGAGTTCGCTACATGGGCAACATCCTAGCTACAGTAGGTTGTATCACTTGATGAAGAGAGTTTGTCATACTCAGATGGCCCATGTGACTTTAAGAGGTTCAGCTTTGGCCACACTTGGCCAAACTGACTAGGGTGAGCTTTGCCAAATCTCTCTCAGCAAAGGAGAAATGTTAATGGGAAACTACAACTAGCAGTGTTTGTGCATTTTCATGTCTTTTCCCTGCGCAGGATTTTCATGTCTTTTCCCTGCTCAGGCACCCCACTTATCCATTTTTCCCTTAAGAAGTTCATTTTACCTAGGAAGATATTTTTATTTTTCCCTCTACCTTAGCCCTGAGCTGCTCATCAAATCAAGGAGCCAGCAACTTCCAGCTCCAGKCTTCTTTTCTAACCACAAAGGAAATTCAGTCAGCACTCAGATCTGTGATTTCCTTACTTAGACCAAGTATTGGGACATAGGCCACACTGATGTCTTCACTGCTTGGCTGGTTGTTGTGATCTCTTGTTTTTCAGGTTTCATAGCATTTTCGAGCATGCCACAGCTGGCTGAGAAGATCAAGTTGTTCTTTGGTTTGGCTCCTCTGTACACTTTTCACCAAGTTAAAGGTCCTGTTTTAAAACTTGCATTTTTACCAGACACACTACTAAAGGTATGTTATTTGCTTATGTTTTATTATTATATCTATTGTTACTGATTTAGTGAAAACCAAGAGAAAAGTGAAACTGATGGAAATACCCAGATGTCTCTGTCTTTAGCATTTATGTTTTAACTCGTTGAAATCACTCATAACTCCAGGTATCCAGCCAAGCAAGTGCATGCAAGAGCCCCACAGTGCTCCAGTTTCACCTTTTGCTGACAGGAGCTGGAAACGAATTTGGAAGGGGAGCTGACGCTCTTCATGGACATATTTCACCTAAGGAACATCCATAAATGGAGATTATACCCTAGGACAGAGAAGCCTGCAAAATGCAGATCTTCCAACCACACCGAAATCCTGTCTCAACCTTAGATAAACAAAAAGGATATTTTTCTTGAAATGGAAGATGAGACTCCTGTGCTTTTACAGGTGTTATTTGGAAGAAAACAACTGACTCTGGTGGGAATGAACGAGAGAGCTGCTCTTGCCAAGCTGTGCAGCAATCTGGTAACTGGCAAAGTTTGTGAAAATGAGATTTTTCTTATTGGTGGATATAATAAGAAGAACTTAAATCTGGTAGGTATATTAGTCTTGCTGCTTTACAGCAAGTCACCCAGGCCCATTTCCAAATTCCCTTGTGCTTTTCATCTAGAAATAACTGGATAACTAAAGATGCCACCGACTTTAATCTATAGTGTTGTGCATAAAGAATATGAAAAAAAATCAGTAATTTCAAATAATAAAAAACAAACTGTCCATCTTAACCATTTTCTCATAACCTTTGATGGAGTCATGTATCTATGTCAGAGTAAGATCTCTCAGAGCCTTTTGGTGGCAAACTTGATAAAATCTTTCAACAGGTGCTGTCTTATCCACATGCTCATGAGACCTGACTTAATTTGCAAAGTCACATGAATCTTTTCCTTGGTTTATACACCTCTTCTATAACTATAATCTCTTTGAGAGGTGATATTAATTTCCTTATCATGGATATGAGATCTACTAATGTATATACTTCATCTTTTTCTCTATGGGAGAGCTTTAAAAAGGGGGCTACATGTCATTTGCTTTCCAGTGATACCAAGACAAGGTTAATAGAACAGTTCATGGTTCATACCATGATGATGAAATCATCACCAAATGCTTTTAGATGCCAGAGTGAGCAACTTCAGGGAGGGATTTTATTGTAGTTCCCTGGTCTGAATATCTTTCTTGCCATAAGATGATTTTATATTTGAGTGTAGGATTTGCATAGCTAGTAAGGCGTGGATAAGAAATAATACACAAGAATAAAAATAAATAAATAAATTAGTCATAAAAACATTGTTCAAGGCTGTGGTGTTGTTCACTATATTGAGGTTTGAACTATTCCCAAGTGCTATTGCTAAAATTTTTACTTTAGTTTTAGAATAGCTAAATCTAATATAGCTAAAGAAACAGTTTTCATTGTGTCTGCAAAAGGATGTGAGCTCCTGCCTCATTTTCTGGGACAAATTTAAAGAGAATAATAGTTTAAAAAAAAAAAAAAAAAGACTGGACTGGACGTATTTCTATTTTAATTGACTAGTTAGCTGGTTTAAGTTCACAATCTATCCAACTCCGAACAGAAAAATGTTGGTAGAGCATCTGAAAAAAATATCAATTGCAATTATAAGATGGAATTTTCACAGATTTTCTTCATTCTCAAATCACTTAGAAATATATTTATATATATATTTTTTTAACTGCAGAACCGACTGGATGTATACTTAGCACACTTTCCAGACTACACTTCAGTAAAAACTCTTCTCCACTGGGGACAGGTACAGAGTCTGATTTTATAATGACCTGGAAACCATTTTTAATTCATGCATATGATATTTTATCATGCTGCTTCACTCACCCGGGAGTCAGATGAGAAGGTAAAAGGCCAATAAAATTAAGGCCAATAAAAGCAATTCTTTTAAGTGCTAGTCAAAATGTCTCAAAAGCCACAGATGTCTCTGGCTGATCAAGGTAAAGCCACCCAAATACCTGCTTCTGTCCCAGGTAATGGACAACTTGCAGGACAGCAAGCAGCAAACAACCACCCCAGCAATGGGGCAGAGTCTTGCACTTGGTCCTTTCCTCATGGTGGGGCTAATCCCAGGCCATCACCCTCACACTGTTAATTCTTTGCCTCTGCCTTGCAGACTGCCAAGACTGGGGAGTTCAAGCAGTTTGACTACGGGGAGAAGAACCAGGAGAAATACAACCAGGTGGGCTGAGGACTTGTGAGGATAAACTGGGGAGAACTGAGAGTGTGATGGAGCCCTTCCATGGTCCAGTTATTCCCTTGTTATTCCCTCCGTGGCTGGGTCCTCCATCAGAGGACAGCCATTCTGATCATCCCGACTCACTGCTATGGGCACAGGGAAGCCTCCTCCATGAGGGTCTGGAGCAACTGGGAGTCCATTGTGGCTGGTCTTTCCTCCTGGATGCTGATAGACAGTATCTTCCTTTCACTGGAACCAATAGTATTCTAACCCCTGACATTTTCTTCTCCCCAGTCCACCCCTCCTTTTTACATGATAGAAAACATGACTGTGCCGACGGCCCTGTGGAGCGGCGGGCAGGACTGGGTGAATCCCCCTGCAGAGACCGAGCGCCTGCTGCCCCGCATCACTAACCTCATTCGTCACGAGCACTTCCCTGACTGGAACCACTTTGACCACCACTGGGGCCAGGATGCCCCTCAGCGCATGTACAGAAAGATTGTTGATCTGATGAAGAAGAATCCATGAATACTCCATGTGATACCATATGSAGGGGCCACTGATGCCCATACCCGTGGGAGACCAGCTTTCTGTGAGGACCATCATTCTGCTTTTCCTTTTCTTGTAATATCTCCTATMAGTCTATTCCATGCTCATTTGATGGGTTGAATGTAACCATGTAACTTCTGGATGCCCTCTGTGACTATAGTTTGCAATAAACACGCGCATCACAGCCTAACTCTGACTCTTCACTTGGGGAACACTATGGTRGTGCTTGTACCTCACTGCCAGAGGCGAGGTACGTCCAAGTCCTAGGCTGTGTGTGGTAACTCGGGGCATTACAACCTCCTTTCCAAGCACCCTCTCATGTCTGAATCTCTCTGCCAGTGGAAACCAAGAGCCTTCCTGCACAGCTCCTGCTGGCACTTTGAGCATCTCCCTCCTTCAATGAAAAACTTGAAGGTGGCTTGAAGAACACATCTGCATTAACAAACACTCATTGTCACCCTCAGAAACATCTTCCTTCACAAGCACTTCTTCTAATTGGGAAGTGTCTTCAGCTCTGAAGTTGCAGTCTCTCTTCAGTTGTGACGCATTCACATTATAACGATTTGATAAGAAGCTATTTGGGACTGAAATTTTAGTCTAGAAATTTAACATCAACTCTGGGATGTGAGTTCAGTTGAAGGAGGGGTGGAAAGTGACTTATTTTTATGGTCGTGGCATGACTAGGGGATAAGTATTCACTTTGAAGGAGAACAGTTTTTCTGAGAGCAAGGAAACCAGAAAGTTAGATTCATGCCACATGTCTAAGATGTCATGGAAGAGCAGCTTTGGGGCCTCTGCATCTGGATAGGATTTTTGCAGGGACRATAAGTGACTCAGAACTGCCAGTTCACTGTCAACCATGACAGTGTTTCATGGGTTCAGAACAAGGGGTACCCAAAATTTTGGATGGTTTCAATGAGACATTCCCAAACTAAGAGGCCCAGAACCCTGGAGACTGGACAGGGAAGCATGTGGAAACACCAATCCGTGCAAGGGGACCTTCCCTTCATCCTGACCTGACTTCCAGAGACTGCTGTAGATGTGCCTGTCCATCCTCCACAAGAATGTACGCTTTGGGGTTGAGAGGAGCAGGGGGCAAGCTTTCCCTCTAGGTACACCCTGGAGCCCTTAGCCCTGTCCATCTGATCTCTGGGGCCAACAGATGTCTCTGAGTTATCACCTGGTGACTTGCCTTGATAGAACCCAGCCTACAAGAAATCTGCTCACTCATGGGCAGAAATGGGCACCACTTTATGCTCCTTCTCCTCCTTGTCAGATCTTCCATGGTAGCAGCATTTAGGTCTCTTAGAAATGTCTTTATTTCCTTGCTCCCCATTCACATTCCCATGTGGTGGCCCTGATGATGTGCTGCTTGCATTTCCTGCTCTCCTCCTTCAGCCTGGGGACAGCCASTATACTTTGAAAGTGCCCTGTCTGCCTCTTCCAGTGTCCCAGAGGGACACTGGATATGACATGAGAGTCTGGAGAGGTGCTTGTAAAATCAAGAGACGGGCTTCCAGGAAGAAGCTAGGGGCATCTAGCCTGCAGTAATAGAGTCAAAGCACGATTCTGGTGGTGCCTACCAAGGAAGGATTGAATGAGTCAGACCTYGGTGGTARTGCAGATGTTTCTTATTTAAATATGCCCCTTTTCTCCCCACCCCACCCCAAAAAAYATTTACTGCACACCAGGAAGAAGTAATGTAGATAAAACAGCAGGGACAGGCAAAAATTGAATTACCGYGTTTAACACRCTAGGTCAGCACAGWAAAGACTAGTAAGAGARGTTGAAAGGAAGAAAAAAATCAKAGTGATAGTCCTCAGACAAAACCAGTTGTCCCTAGCGGGTGGGAATGAGTGACTCTTTCATCCAGGGGAAAATAAGAAGGTTTCATTGACTTTTCTCCATCAGATCAATGATCTTCCTGTACATGCGCTGAGGGGCATCTAGACCCCAGATGTGATCCAAGTGGTTCCAATCAGGGAAGTGYTCGTGGTGAATGAGGTTAGGAATGCGAGGGAGCAAGCGTTTCGTCTCTATAGTAGGGGTAGCCCAATCTTGCCCACCACTCCACAGGGCTGTCGGCACGGTCATGTCTTCTATCCTGTAAAAAGGAGGTGAGGGCTTGGGGAAAAGAAGAGAAAGTCMGGTTATTTCAAATAAAAATAATAAGGTGTCGGTTGGTGTCATCAGAGCTGCTGAAAGTCTATCTCTTCCTCCCTCAGGATAGCTGTGGAAGCCAACAGAGTATTCATATCCTGGGGCATATTTTTAGAAACCAGAGAGAAAGGGAGACACAGCATGTGAGTTCTGCAAGATCCCCTTGGGATGCTTTCCATCAGGGGCAGACAAAATCCCASAAGGTGCGATTGGGATGAGCAAGCCTAAATGGAGAGTAGAACGACTGTCCTCTGATGGAGGACCCAGCCACTGAGAGAACAAGTATGCTAGTTGCCGAAGTGCACAATGTGTAGGGCACCTTCCTCCCAATCTCAGTCAACCCAGCCCTCTTCTCTGCTCTTCACTCCCTAGTTCACCCTCACAAGTCCTCAGCCCACCTGGTGGTATTTCTCCTGGTTCTTCTTCCCATAGTCAAACTGCTTGAACTCCCCGGTCTTGGCAGTCTGTGAAACAGAGGCAAAGAATTAACAGCATGAGGAAGCAGATGGACACTGGACAAATTCAGCTGAACTTGTTGCCTTTTTCCCTCCCTCTGCTGTGCTTTGTGTTTGGCATTGGRTTTTTGCAGTGGTAGTCACRCACTCAACCTTTTCCAAGGGCCTCTGAAATGTTCATGCCCCCTTCCTGCCCTGGGGAATTAGCATGGTTTGGACATTGCCCAAATCTTGGCTTCCAGTACTTCCTGAGTCACTTTTGAGGGAGAAAGGTTTCTGTAGCCTTGGAGGGTCACCTTGCTTGCCAAGGAGACTCTGGCCCAGAGGTATCCACCCAAAGGACCAGCATGCGCCTTGGGGAGTCCAAGGGAAAGAAGGGAGCTGGCCAGGCAAGGGAGTCTCACAGACMGTACATCTGAATAGAGTATGTCTAGAGTGGAAAGTCAAGTTGACATCAAAGATGTCTGTAGGCTTGGAAGGAACTGTYGAAAGGGAGCATTTCACCACTTTCACTACCTTACCTGTCCATATAGTGAACTGAGCTACCTAATGGACCAACTTATCCAGGAATAATCCCAAGACTATCAGGCACAACAAACAGGAGAGTTCCTACCTGGCCCCAGTGGATAAAGTTTTTGACAGATGTGTAGTCTGGGAAATGTGATATGTATACATCTGTTCGGCTCTGGAAAAAGTAAAAATGRAAAAAGAAAGCTTTACTTGGGCAGGAATTAGCACTTGTTTATTGTTGCAGTCGAAAGCGCTTGATTGTCATTCAGCGTGTTACTTGTTGGCTTCTTTGAGGCTGCCCAAATACTGGATACAGTGAATATTGGGGAAAGTACCAAAGGACAAGAGAATTATTCTCCTTATGCTTTGTGCATTGACCCTGTGGTCTATCAGTTACAGACATTAATACATTAGGGCACCTTTGAGTGACAAGAAGGAAAAACTTCCGTTTTGACCATGAGATCTTGGAATTCACCATCCTGCATGGAGAAATCTGGGCAAGAAGTAGGATAGCTACCCTGGGCTTCAAGAGAGCCAACTTCGACCTCTTCAGGGAGCTCCTTGGAGCAGTCCCCTGGGTCAGGGTCCTAGAAGGAAAGGGAGTCCAGGAAAGCTGGCTAATATTCAAGCACCACTTCCTCCAAGCTCAGGATTGATGCATTCCCACAAGAAAGAAGTCGAGTAAGTGGGGCAGGAGACCTGTATGGATGGGCAAGGAGCTGCTAGGCAAAGTTAATGAGAAAAAAAAAAAGAGCGTACAGCTTGTGGAAGAAGAGCAAGGTCACACGCGAAGAATATAGACATATCGTCAGAGAATGCAGATGTGCAACGAGGAAGACCRAGGCCTGTGTGGAACTAGAGTTGGCAAGGGATGTCAGGGACAACAGGAAGGACTTCCATAAATATGTCAGCAGCAAGAGGAAGACTAGGGAAAATGTTAATGCACTGCTGAATGGGGAGGGTGCCTTGGTGACGGAGGACGCTGAGAAGACAGAGTTACTAAATGCCTTCTKTGCCTCTGTCTTTACTGCTAAGGCGACCCCCCATGAACTGCAGGGCTCAGGTGAAAGAGATATAAATGAGCTAGAGGAAGACCTTCTGCTGGTTGAGAAGGATTGGGTTAGGGATTGCTTAGACAAACTGGCCACTCAAAAATCTATGGGTCCCAATGAGATGCACCCAAGAGTGTTGAGGGAATTGGCGGAGGTTATTGCTCAGCCTCTCTCCATCATCTTTGAGAGGTCCTGGAGAGCARGGGAGGTGCCCGAGGACTGGAAGAGAGCCAACGTCACTCCAGTCTTCAAAAAGGGCAAGAGGGAGGAACCGGGCAATTACAGGTCGGTCAGCCTCACCTCTGTCCCTGGAAAGGTGATGGAGCGGTTCATCTTAGAGAGTATCTCTAGGCATATGAAGGAGAAGAAGGTGTTGAGGAGTAGTCAGCATGGATTCACCAAGGGGAAGTCATGTCTGACGAACCTAATAGCCTTCTATGATGGGATGACTGGCCAGCTGGACGAGGGGAGAGCCATGGATGTTGTCTACCTTGACTTCAGCAAGGCTTTTGACACCATCTCCCATGATATCCTCATACGGAAGCTCCAGGAGAGTGGTCTGGATGAGTGCACGGTGAGGTGGATTGAGAATTGAGGGGATGTCAGAGCTCAGAGGGTGGTAATAAATGGGGCCGAGTCCAGTTGGAGGCCTGTGGCCAGTGGTGTCCCCCGGGGGTCAATACTGGGCCCGGTCCTGTTCAACTTGTTCATCAATGACCTGGACGAGGGCACTGAGTGCACCCTGAGCAAGTTTGTGGATGACACCAAGCTGGGTGGAGTGGCCGACACTCCGGAGGGCTGT